TGTGACTAACATCTTGTTACCTATGTATTAAATATAATAATAATAGCATAACAATTTACGCGTTTTCAGTCTTACCTCCATGTTTCCACTGTTGGATTTTGCAGTACAAGAAGCAAAGGCAGACGCACGCGGCGCATGACAGAGCCAATGTAGACAAGATGGCGTTGATCCAGACGTCATTGATGACGATCTCGTCGTACATTAGCCGGCCGTGCACGTTGACTGCTCCACGATGAGTGCCATTGCGCTGGACGCTGCGGGTTATCGTGGCCACCACGGTGGTCGACGTGGCCGCGGCGATCGTGTGCGCGGTGGCCGTCGTGGTGGCTGATGCCAGTAGAGAGGCGTCCATCATGAATAATTATAAATGAACCGATGCGCGGAAACAACAACCCTGTAAGCGGGGTGTGAACGTCCCAGACCTAAAACAGGATAACAATAATAGATTAAATAATATAATTTAATTGCCTACTAAGGATTTTAAATCTTAAATATTTCATCATATTGTGAAACATTGGATTTTTATTAATTATTATTCCATACTAATTGTCTCTACTGCCTTCAAATATAAACTTCCCGTCAATTCAGCAGATAATATTAGATAACTTAAGTATTATCATTTTTTATCATCGACGTCCAAACACAGTCCACAATGCAATTGCACTTAMAACACGAACAAATTCATAGCATATATATTCATCGTAGTTTAACTGTTCAAACATTAATTTGCAGTGAGAGGTGTTCACAGGGGTGTAATTAAGGGGGGGGGGCGAGGAAGAAAATCCTCTCTCTCCAAAAACTTTTATTTTACTGCTAACATTTTATATTTGGTGCACAAATATAACAAAAATAGCTARTATTTTTGTAAATTTGTATTTCATCACACTCAATAGATAGTAGTATGACACACTAACTATTATCCTACTCTATAATAAATACTGATCAATAATCAGTAATCATACATTAATTTCTTAGTTAAAATTATTATGAAAATAAAWTTCAGCTGACATATTATTTATTTATTATTCTGATGTGCAGATACCAAGATTTAAAAAAATTCTGACCCCCTCTCCCTATAAAAAAATTATGTTTATGCTACTGTTATACGTATATATAGGTGCAAACTTCCAATCAAACATTTTGTGATTTCGAAAATAACCGTGAATGTTTTAATGTTTACTATATTTTAATTTTCAACCAAATTATAAGTTTTAGATTCTGAGCATAATAGTAATAATAAAAATTGCCATGTGGAAAATTCTTTGACCATCAATTTAGTTATAGGTTTCTGTCAGCAATCTATATAGTTGTTATTTTTAAGAGGTCAAAAATGAAAATACTTAGTACTATTTAAAATTATTAGAAAAAACGAAAAAAAMATTTTTTTAATTGTAATTATTATTCATATAATAAATGTTTGGTAATATTTTATAATAAATAAAAGGTTTTCATAAGTTGCTATTGAATCATTTTAAAAATATTTTAAGTACCTACATATAGGAACTTTTTTTCATGAGTAAAAATTCAAGTAGCAAAAAAGAACAACCTATATGCACCTCATGCAACACCGTGACTACTGTCAAACACCTTCTAACAGAATGCCTCCTCACAAAAGATGCCAGAGAAAAACTCATGCTCCCCAACAACCTATGCGAAATACTAGCACCAAACACGGAAAGAACATCTTCACTCCTAGAACTTCTCAAAGAAAAG